GCAGAACATAGCTATTAAGATTTCCTCTGTAAAACTAAAAAACATAAGACCAAGTGATGTGACACAGGGGTACAACAGGATGATGCTCTAAAGGACAAAAATATATTCTCCCCTTAAATATGCTTTCCTTTAAGTGTGGCAAGAACTGTGAATAAAATGCTTGCCTAACATTAATTTACACGGCTGAACTGCCCACTACAAAAATAAGCCATGTTATATCAACCTGAAGATCTGGTATTTGAAGATTTTTGAAGAGCCCAGAATAGATAATGCACAACTCAAACTGCAGACTTGGAGTGCTAACAGTGTCTATTCAAAACCCCATTGAAGATAATTAATTATGTAAGATAAATCTATTATGAGGTGGCCTAATTAGATATGCAGGGCTCATTATACTGCTTGCATAAGGAGTAAAGAACATGTATGTCTTCCCTTTCCTCCTGCAATGCAGCAAAAAGCAAATCTAAACTTCAACAAACTTAAAATACAGTTTTTGATACAAACCAGGCATAATAAAGACTACTGTGGTTACTGAAGCAGATATACTGCATGCTGCCACACTAACAGAACATCAGATGAGTCTCAACAAAGACCAAGTAAGGGATTAGCCTGATTTACCACCATGAAGGTCTTAATTTTCATTTTAAGCTACATAAACTTTTAATCATAACCAACAGCTGGAAAAGACTGTATTGGCTTCAGTGAAAACAAAAAATGTGATAACATGATGAAATACACATGTAAAATACGTATCTATAAAGAGGATGACTGGTCATTTACAGCATTTTTGCTCCAGTTATAAATAGAAATAGTTAAACTCAGTGAATGATTCTTTCCTTTGAATAAGCTGCATCCTCATTTTCTACTCCAGCAGTTTTAAAGAAAGCTGCTTGGAATTGATCTTATTTTTTAAATAAATTAAAACTAATCTTCTGTAATTACTTATGAGATTATTGAAGCCTTTATATACACAGGAACATGGAAATTCATTTGCATGAAGGTTGCAGTATTGTTTCAGGTTTAACTTTTTTTGTAAGAAATAATAGTGTGTGTTACATAAAATTAACATAAAATACTATAAAACCATTTTTTTAAGCAAAATGTTTCAAAATATTACCAATCCACTTGTGTTTCTTTTAAATAATCTATAAAGAAGAAAGGATAGCACTGATAAAAAAAACACAAGGAGTAACCTTTATAAGGATGAGAGGGGAGCAGAGGGAGAGCACAGAAACCATTTTTTTCACATCATATTCGTTTCTAGTTTCCCCACAAGAAGTGTGATGACTCAGTTCCCACCTTCACAAGGGCTGCTCTGTAATGATGGGGATATGTGGGGAAGCAGGCATAAGTAAACTAGACAGCTGAAATGAAGGGAGCAGGGTGTTGCCTCCTTCCCTAGTTACATAAAGCAACATATTTTATGTAAGGTGTCCATCTGGCTTTCTCCTTGCCCACTGCACAAGAACATATCTAGTAAAGGATCAAATAAAGTGCAAGATGATGAACAAGAACTTCTTGAAAACATAAATCAGCACTGGTTTTGATTTTTCTTTTCATTTAAAGTTTATACACCCTCAGTATATCTTGAAGGTCCTCTGAACTAAACAACTCTTAAATATTTGAATAATATTGAATAATGCAGTTCAATAAATTAGCTTTTGCATTACAAAATGAGTAGAGTCTACAGTTAAGTTCAAGGAAAATGGAAGTGAAAATAGATCTACTTGATCCAGTAATGCTGATAAATTGCCATTAAATATTGAGAGCATACATGGTAAATAAATATGAAAAATACACAGGAAAAAGGAAAATAAGATCAAAGTTAACATAGAACTATGAGTTTGCTGAGATTTTTTCCAATTGAATATTGAACGTTTTATCAAGATATGATCAACATAGTACATTCATTGAGCTGATTCATGGGATTTACATCATTCTATGCTGGCATTACTGCCTTCAGCAAGCTTGACTGACAGAAGTACAATTCTTGTTACAGCAAATATTTACAAATATTGTAACAAAACAGCACATCCAAGCAGCTGAATCAGCTTTCTGCATTTCCTTATTAATGTTACCAGAGAGAATTTTTCTTTGACAGTCTCTGCTATATAGAAAATACTTAAAATTACAGTTAATACTTAAAATTAAAAGAAGTCTGTACTGTAAAAGCATGCATACACTCTACTAGAACTAGGAATTCTGTGAGGATGGTGTAACGGGATCTATATTTAGACTGGAAAAAAATAACTTCTTTTTTATGTAATTACTTTTGCACTTCTCAAAGAATGGAAACTTCCGTTTTTTCCATTGATCTATTATTCAAGGTAAGATATAAATTCCAATTCCTATTCATCAAGGACATAAAATCACTGCTTAATTTTGTGTCACATTGTACCACGAAATCCCTCTTTTGCATACTGATTCATTCTATTAACTATTTTTGTCTTATGAGTCATTTTGCTCATATGACAACCACAATAACAATATTTGAATTTTAAAATTTATATTTTTATTGAATTTTTTTATCCAAGGAAAGATCATTTAAAATTAAATGAAAACTACTATGTACTTTTCCAAGAGAACAAGAATTTCAGAAAACTTTAAAAAGTGTTTTGATAATCACTGGGCCAACTCAAGAGTTTCTTATCTAGATTTTATTTGTGAAAAACTCTTAATGGTAGAATGAATTCTGTTTGCTTAAAGTTCATAAATATCCAATAGCTATCAAAAAATAAGTGGACAAAATGGGAAACTGCATATTTTGAAAATGCTTTTCCAGTTTAAGTCAGATGACATCCCCATTTTCAAAGCTTCCCATAAGCTTGAATAAGTTAAAAATATTGTTCTGAAAATATTAACCCAAGTAATTTCTGAGATGAAATATTCTTTTCAGTAACTCAATAAAAGCAGATGAAAAATGGCATTTATCAGCCAAGAGATGCTCATATTAGCAATCTCAGCTGAACGAATGATTCCTAGGAAATCAAGGACAGTCTCCCTTCCAGCCTCTCAGCTTTGTAATAAAAAAACCTGAGAATCCTAAGAATTTCCAGGCTTTCCAAATGTACAACTGGAATTTTCTGAATTTCAGCTTGTGTCCATTGCCTGTTCTCTTTTTGCTGAACATCACTGAGGAACAGTCTGGCTCCAACTTCTTCACTCCACCCCATCTGGCATTTATACACATTGCTAAGATCCCCCTGAGCCTTCTCTCCTCCAGGTGTAACCATCAACCCCCAGCCTGTAATGGTGCTTCCCAAGTGCAGGAGTTTGCACTTGCCCTTGCTGAATTTCACGAGACTCCTGTTCACCCATTTCTCTAGTCTGTCAAGGTCCTTCTGAATGGTAGCACAACCACCTGGTCTATCAACTACTCCTCCCAATTTTACATCATCCAGACCTGCTGAAGGTGTGCTCTGCCCTGTCGTTCAGATCATTAGTGAAGATTTTAACCGGCATTGACCCCTAGGGTAGACCACTAGTGACTGGGTCCAGCTGGACTTCACTGTTTGAGTCTGGCAGTTCAGCCAGTTTTCAGTGCACCTCACTGTCCACTTTTCTAGTCTGTACATCAGTTTGTCAATGAGAATGTCATGGGAGACAGTGTCAAAAGCCTTGCTGAAATCAAGGCAAACCATATTCACTGCTCTGCTCTCATCCACCAAGCCAGTCACTTCATTGTAGAAGGCTACCAGGTTGCTCAGGCATAATTTCCCCTTTCACACCAACTACTCCCAGCCACCTTCTTGTCTTGAATATGTTTGGAAACCAGCTTGAAAGCTAGAGGAGTGTAGAACCTCTGAGAATCCTACTCGAAACAAGATTTTCAAAAATTCCAGGCCTCCAGCTATGGAGATGAGTGCCCATTCCCTGTCAAAACCAGAATTTCCAAGGTTTCCCAGCCCTATCTCCTTGACACGTACCTGAAAAATTCAGTCAGGTAGTTCTAGCAATGCATATAATATGTAATATTTGCCCACTGTAATAACCAGAAACTTCAAACTTGTTGCATTCCTGGATGTCTAAAGAAGCAGCATGCAGAATACCACAGTGGTATCTGAGCTCTATTTAAGCTTTCTAGCTTGTCTAGAGTGACAGAGCTATACTTGGCATGGTCCAATTTACGCAAACCAGAAGCTACGCCGATACCGGATCTTGTCACAACACATGAGCTACCAAAGCAAACAACTAGCCAGTCACTCACCATGTCCTGACAGCACATGAGTTTTGCTCTGTTCTCCTTAAATAGGAACCACAGTCTTTTCTCTGGAAAGATATTTTTAATCCAAAAGGAAGTCCCTTTCTCTTCATCAGTTTCTGGCCTTCTATCCCCAGTTCTCAACAAGGCGTTAAGCAAGAGTCCAATGAATCAGTGCCTATCAGTTCACAGTAACCATCAGTGTGCTCATTATACAGTACTTAAGAGTTCTTTCTTTCTACATTGTTTTTAGATTAAGTCGATCAAGATAAAGACTAAATCTAGTCTTTATATTAAACTGCTATGAAACCACTGTTACCAGTATAGGAAAAGGTTAAAAACCAGTTCAACAAAGTATTTATAAATTAATGGAATACCTCAATATCATATAATTGCTATATCGATTTAGGTAACAAGTTGCTGTATGTAAGAGAGTGAAGAGCCCTAAAGAGTCAGTATTTAATTTTCAGTCTACTACTTAGATTAGAAAGATGGAACATATTCAGAATTGAACTGCAGATGAAAGAAAAAAATTTGTTTATTCCTTATAAAGTCATTTAAAACTCTGTTTGACTCTGTAATATACACAGCTTTTTTTAAGGTTCTCTATTCTAAGAGAAGTAAATAAAGGTAAATAATGCATAAGATAAGTATTCCAGTGAACAAGCTAAAACAACTTGCCTAAGCACATTTTATTCACCATAAAATTTTTCTTAAAGACATTTAAAACTATAGCACACACGATTCTTAATTAGACTCATGAATATGCAAACTGACAGCCACAAGGACGAACACATACCCTTAATAATCGATTCAGCTGCATACAGATCCCGTTTGTAGGTCACCTAAAGGACAGACAAGCCTCATTAAATTCAACACAGCAGGAAGGAATGCAAAACTAATAAAACAATGGCCCGAAGGCAATTCTTTACATTTGAAATACCATAAACAAATGATATTGTCGATTTCTTAGTTCTGGTAAAATGTCACTGGCAAGTCATGAGAACAGAAGTTGCAGAAATAACCGGAGACTCGAGAGAAACCTTTTCTTTAAATACTTAGATCTGTTTCGAACTCATTTGAAACCTAAAACTATTTTTAACCCTTTGAAGAATCATAAAACCTTGATATTGCATCTATTTTCACACATCCATTCTACTCTATAATTCTATTGTTAAATAAATTAATTTTTTATAGGACCTGTGATCATAAGATTGCCAGCCAGGGAGAAGCCTCATTATTTCTTTTACTAATATAGGTGTAATTTTTCAGTAGTGCAAGACTATTACTGTTAATGAGAGTCATATTAATCAGTGGGAGTCAGTGAGACTATAGTAGGCTTCGTATGAGCTTTCAGAGGATTAAAAACCAACAAGATCTTCTTGAAGACATTAATCACATCAAGATAGATGGACAATAAGATGCTGAATATTTACTTGGTACTTGCAAAAAACACCTTTCATATCTGCCTTTGTACCCTCATGGTAGTTGACAGTCCTGGTATCAGGCTTTGCAAATAAAACAACAGAAAACTACAGACAGCATCTACTCAAGACATTAACAGTCTTTGCTAGCAATGTCTTCACAATGACATGCAGTGACATGAACTGATATAACTCCTAAATATTTGCCTTTCTTTTTACTGTAACTTCCTTTCATGTTAAATAAAACATTACTGGATTTTCTGCATTTGTTTTTCTAGAGTCTGAATAACTTTTTTGTTTCTTGAAATGGGTTGAATAGGACTCCAAAAGCTTTAGTGCTGCAAAGTAAATCTTACAGCAGAAGCATACAATTGTAGGTATCAGCATTTTAGTCTCCAAGTAAATGATTATTTGATTTTAACATAAGGGTTCTTGTAACCACTTTCCATCTCATAAATTAAGCTGTGTATTGTAGTCAAACAGATTAATATTATTACCTTTCTCATTATTTACCATTTCTCCAAGGAATTATATTCTTTTAAAATTAAAAATTAACTTGCTTCCCTACAGCTTGCCCTGCAGGAGAAGCAGCCAGAAAATTAATCTAGCCTGAGAAATCTTAGGTGTCTGAGCTTACATACTGTTGGGAAGAATCAATGTCTTGAATTTAAATTTAAGGACAAAGAATTATTGAGTGATCAATTTTGTTGCAAGGTTTATTTCTAATTACCTGTTTCCAGTGGGTTTTTATACTGAACTTTCAGTAAACCTGTAACAGATTACCACCTAAAAATCTTTCAAGAAACAAGACCACCTACGCTCTGTCAAAAGTGGTCTCAGGTACTCTAAGGTTCACAATCTCTTTGAGATGCAAAAGTAGTTTTAAATAGTCTGATTTTTAAAAGTTACTTCATGAAGTAGGCCTAGTCTTCAAGAAAACAGCACAGAAGAACAAAAAATCAAGAATGAACCTTTAAAATCACTTCCGAAATTCTGAGCCAGACATCAGCAAATACTTTTTAGGGTGGTTTCCTAGAGGAATAAATCATCTGAGACCATGTCACACTATCCATATTTCTTTCATAATCTTTGATCCTATAAGCTAATTTCAGACACAAGCTCCTATAAGCTTTATGAAAATACTAAAGTTGGCAGAGAGAAAAACCCTGCCAGCTACCACAGGTGACCGCCAGTTACCAGTCAGGGAGGGAGGGAGGGATCCTCTACATCTCTTTCAATAGAATAAGATGCTATATTGAATCAAAGTTTCTCTTAAGGTATGGATATTCATAATGCCTCTGGATTTTCCTGTGCTGATTAAGAGGTGTTCTCACAATTTAGATGAGACTTATTCAAAAGGTAGGCAACCACGACATAGACACCTTTTGGTTTAATTCTAACCATTGATTGTTTTAGTATGAATTTGTTTTAAACAACTTTTAAGGCTATTCAGCACAACAGTTTATTGTTCTGAGCAGCCATACTGCTTTATTCCTAGTTTCACTACAGTGGATTTGCATTCTAGGCCAACCCCAGCTGGAAGGAGTTCAGACCTAGCCAAATCAACCAGGAAGAATACGTTAACTGTCACTCTATATCAGAAAGTATGATGGCACTCTCCGATCCCGCAGCCCAAGTGAGGTGCAAAAATCACAGTGGAAAAAGAACAAGCAAGAAAAACGACACACAGGAGTTCTCTCTCACTTTGCAGAAGATAGATCTTCTACCTTATCCATTTCTGGTTTTTTTATGTCACATCATTAAGTTAAATCTATACGGACTTATCAAATTACCTTTAATCTTCTTTTTCCATGCTCTTCTCTGAACCTTCTCTATTTATCAACAGTTGCACAGAGCTTGAGTCCAGATTTGACCATAATAATACTAGAATTGACCTTGTAATACTAGAACATCTCTTTTCTAATTTCATATTCTTGTTTCTGTATCTGTGGCTGACATAAGTTATTTTGTCCACAGTGGAAACCTGCTATTCTCTGTGATTCCTACACCATTTTCAAAGTCACTGCCTTCCTAGAACAATTCTCTAAATAAGGCCTATACTTTCTTTGTTTCTAAAAACACTTCTTTATATTTGGCTCCAATGGAAAGCATGCCTTTTGTTTAAACTGTTTGCCAAGCAATCCTTATCAACAGGTTACTTCTGACTAATTACGTTTCTCTTTACAAATCCTTAAAGCTTTGTGTTGTCTGCAAACTTTATCAGACAAATGTTAAACAGCTTAGAGACAATAACAGTTTCTGCAGAACTGTACATGGTGAGAATTATCTTTTGAAATATAACAGTTATCCAATTTTTAGTCTATTTAATGAGGATTAGTACAATTAGAGTCATCCTATTTTTAATTAAGATGCCATGTAGTAACAAATCAAACTTCTGCCAACCATATATTGTATCAACACAATCATCTTTATCAGCCAGGACTATAATCTTGTAAAAAAGGCTTGAAGTCAATTTCACAAAATCAGTAAATTTCATGTTTGTTGACATTAGTTGCATTAATCCCTTAATTCTTTATTAATGAAGTTCTGCCTGTAGCACTGCAGCCTTTTGTTTTGTTGATCAATACTGAACCCACAGGCTTCTAATTACTCAGATTCTCTCTCTTCATGTGACAACATTAATTTTCATTTTGTCCTCTTGAGCATCTAGTGTTCCAAGATTTTCTGAACATCATTGCTGCAATCCAGAATATCGCTACGCCAAATACTAAAACTCAACACAAATACCTCATTGCCATGGAATATGAAACCATCACCTGCTTATTTGGCAAAGGCAGAATAGCCTTACTCATTAAACATGTCTCTACTTATCTGTATAATAAACAATCTACTATATCTATTTAGTAAAGCCTCAAAATCATCAGACAAGGATTTTTTTGTTTGTTTTCCTGTGTGCCTTTCTCTCTCCATTGTCAGACAGCAACTTTTCACTAGCCAGGAAGATGCTCTTTTAAAATAAGTTCCCCAAAGTTACTCCCATTTAATTTAAATGCAAAACATAACTTTACTCTGTTTGCTTGGTAAAGAGTTATGATCACACATACACAAAATGCACTACATTTTAGTTTAATGAAGTATTTCCCTCTGTTATAGTAAGGTACGACACAGATCTCCTTTGTATGGGATATTTTTGTAGAATTAGAAAATAATCTGTTGGTTTTAGAAATAGTGAAGATTTTTCACAGTATCAGCATTAAGTCTTTAAACGCTTATCAATCTTTTTAAAATCTGCATTATACACACACATATATTAGACTCCAACAATTACATTCTGTTACATTATTTTATACTTTAATTAACAGGATATGGTCCAGAACATTTAAGGTAATTTTGTTTCAAAAGTGAGAAACTGTAAATATGGCATTGATAGTGTCATTCTGTTTCCTTTTTGCCATCCTGATCCTAAATTTCTTATAAATAGTTACACAATAACTACATTTATAATAGAACTTATAAATATTTATAACACTGAAGTAATCTGCATGTTCCTGCCTGGTTGTTGTCACTACAAAGAATGATTTTAATTTTGTAATTTGTTACCAGAAAGTAAACAAACAATCTCTTGCTTTAGCTCCAAGGGTAAGTGACTTTGAAATGTTACTTTTTCTAATGCACTATAAGTAGACAGCACTCGGGTAGAATAATCAGAGTTAACTCAAGAAAACAATATATATGCACACATAAGTAACTTTTGTCCACAGCTTTGAGTCATTTAATGTTGTGTAGGTTGTGCATCTAATAAAGAAACCGAATTCTTACAAATATCATGTCTGCTCTTTAAAGATTCAAGGTCCACATAGGATGAAATTGATTTGTAATAACTGAACTTTAGAAACTGTTCTCCACCTGTTAATTGACTGCAGTTTTTCTGTTACATATCCTCTGAAACCTCAACTGAACAATAATTATTTATTTTAGTTCTCATGTATCTGGATAGAATTTTTTTTTTTGCCTGTTGAAAAAATAAGACTGGGGCCATTGTGAGCACACCAGTTCTTGGCATATGAAATATAATTTATTTCAGCATTGAAAAGCCTTACAGAAAAAACCAACAACATATTACAAATTACATTATTCTGACAGCTAAGGAAGGATAATTCTGCTTCTGAAAGGTGACTAGTTAAAGAGCAATAGCTCCTAACCATTTTGTAGGCAAGCATCACTTGAGAAAATTCGCAGTCTTCTGCACTTCATCACATCGCACAGACTAAGCACGAGTGTTCTCATCTCCAATGGTACTGCTCCAAGGCACCTGCCAAACACCCCAGTACAGAGGGACCAATACCAGGGTGCTATTCAAGCTGGAAGGAGCTATCTTCCTCTGTAGCCTCTAATCTAAGTATTTGCTGCAGAAACAATCTACTATTTTACAGACCTTGCCATTTTTATGCCTTTGACTTTGACTGTCTTCACAAGCCACAGAAGACATCAGTGACTTCTAGCTACAAAATAAGACCAGGAATAGGATGTGAGAATGTATAGGTACTTTAATAACATGGCACCAGCATCTTTGCGTACACTATATATAGCATATTGACTGCTCTGCATTGCCTGCAGCACAGTATCTGTGCATAAATGGGTGCTGTTGCTACTGTCACACTGCACAACACTGTCAACACTGAGACTCTGTGGTGGGTTAACGTTTGCTGGATGCCAGGAGCCCAGCAAAGCTGCTCTATCACTCCCCTCCTCAGCTGGACAGAGGAGAGAAAATAAAACAAAAGGCTCACAGGCCTAGATAAGGACAGGGAGAGATCATTCAGCAGTTACCCTCACAGGCAAAACAGACTCATGGAAATCAATTTAATTTATTGCCAAGTGAAATGAGAGTAGGGTAATGAGAATTAAAACCAAAACTTAACACACCTTCCCTCCACCCCTCCCTTGTTCCCAGGCTCAACTTCATTCCCCAATTCTCTGCCTCCCCCAACCCAGCAGTGCAGGGGGATGGGGAATGGGGGTTGCAGTCAGTTCACCACATATTGTTTCTGCTGCTCCTTGCTCCTCACACTCTTCCAATGTGGGTCCTTCCCACACACTGTAGTTCTTCACACATGGCTCCAGCATGGGTCCCTTCCCCGGGGTGCAGCCCTTCAGGCACAGACTGCTCCCGCCTGGGTCCCCCGCAGGGTCACAAACCCGCAAACCTGCTCCAGCCTGGGCTCCTCTCTCCATGGGGCCACAGGGCCTGCCAGGAGCCTGCTCCAGTGTGGGCTTCCCACGGGGTCCCAGCCTCCTTTGGGCATGCCCCTGCTCCAGCATGGGGTCCTCCCCGGGCTGCAGGTGGGGATCTGCTCCAGCGTGGGCCTCCGTGGGCTGCCGGGGGACAGCCGGCTTCACCATGGGCTGCACCACGGGCTGGTGGGGAACCTCTGCTCCGGGCCTGCAGCATCTCCTCCCCCTCCTTCCGCACTGACCTGGCGGGCTGCAGGGCTGTTTCTCTCCTGTTCTCACTCCTCTCTCTGCTGTTGTTTTTTTTTCCACCTTCTTAACTATGTTACCCCAGAGGTGCTACCACCAACACTGACTAGGCCTTAGCCAGCGGCAGGTCCATCTTGGAGCTGACTGGCACTGGCACTATTGGACATGGGGAAGCTTCTAGTAGCTTCTCACAGAAGCCACCCCTGTAGCATCCCCTCACTGCCAAAAGCTTGCCACGCAAACCCAATAGACTTTTTCACCTGGTCCACAATACTTTCAGTTTTTCTACCTGAATCTCCTTCTCCATCATATTCTCCAGTATGCCACCAGCTAAAAAAAAATTCTTGGTCCAAGATCCGAGCATCCTACGAGGAATTCACTCTTCACATGTTATCATTTTCCACATGTTTACAGGCTTCTTTAAAGCCCAGTGCTACTGCAATGGGTCTCGCACGCTAGAATCATAGAATCACAAAATCATAAAACCATTTAGGTTGGAAAGGACCTTTAAGATCATCGAGTCCAACCGTAAACCTAGCATGGCCAAGTCCACCACTAAACCACGTCCCTAAGCACCACATCTACAGGTCTTTTAAATACCTCCAGGGGTGGTGACTCAACCACTTCCCTGGGCAGCTTGTTCCAATGCTTGACAACCCCTTCAGTGAAGAAATTCTTCATAATATCCAATCTAAACCTCCCCTGGCACAACCTGAGGCCATTTCCTCTTGTCCTATCACTGGTTTGTTGGTCTCTTCTCCCAGGTGAAGAAAGTTAACAGCATCAGGATTTTGCTTCACCAACAATGTTGGATTGGCACTAACACTTCAATAATTCTCTTTTAACACAGAGCGTGCGTGAGCTCAAGTTTGAAGTGTAACTGCAGACTGGTTACTAGTGGTGTTCCTCAGGAACTGATGCTGGGGACAATACTGTCTAATATCTTTACTAGGGGAAAGGGGAAATAGCCTGAACTAGGAGATGACAACAAGTGGGAAGTATTCAATATGCTGAAGGGTCCAACACTCATTTAGAAGGATCCTGAAAGGCTGGAGAAAGGGGCTGACAGAAACCTTGTGAAATACAACACACACAAATACATCATCCTGCATCTGGGACAGAATAACCCTGTGCAGCAGTCCATACCAATGCCAAAACAGCTTTGCAGAAAAGGATCTTCTGGACAACCTGAGCATGAGTCAGCAGTGTGTTGCACTGCAGAAAAGGAGTCCAACTGACTGGGCTGTTTCAGTAAGGAAGTAGACTCTATTAGAGGGAATACAGGCATTATTCCCTTGTATTCAGCACTTTTGAGAACACATCAGAGTACTGTTTCTAGTTTTGGGCTCCTCAGTATAACGCAATGAGGAACAGGAGGAAGCCCAGCACAGGGCTGCTGAGACGGTGTGAGAGAACTTGGCTTGTTCAGCCTGAAGAATGTAAGATGAAGCGTGGGGAAGGGTCATAATTAATGGCCACAGAGAAAAGTAAATTTGACTTTTCCTGCAGATCTTTCTGTTGGCCTTTCATCCTTTCCCAGCACAAGAGGCAGCAAGGGAAATGCTGACCAAATATTAGGAAAAAAATCTCCTCCATATGGGGGGATATGCATTGGAATTTTTCTTCCCAGAGAGTCTGTGAAATCTCTGTTCTTGAACATATTCAAAACTCAACTGAACAAGGCCCTGCACACCCTAATCTAACCTGCCCCACTTTCAGCAAGATGTTTGACCATATTACATCTAGGTATTTCCTTCAGTATTAATTATTCTGTCATTCTAGGTCAAAAGACTACATTTCATCTGCTGGGCATCAGTAGTATCTACAGATAGTAAAGAACTAAAAAAACATAACACAGTACTAAATGAACGTTATGGGTGTATTTTGTTACCCTTCACGTAAGCACCATGCTTTGCAATTAGAACAAGGAAACCATCCAAAAAGTGATGGAATGCAAATATGCATGACATAATCTGTCCCTCAGAAGACTGAACAGGAAAACAGACAATATACTGTTTCAGAAAGACTATGTCCCCAGAAAGATACTGAAAGATGTTGCTGTATGCAACGAGTACATAACTAAATTTTGCTGCTAAATTGCACAGGAAATTTGCACTGCAGTTTCAGGAAATTACCTTTCTGTCTAAGATTTACTGTCATATTATTAGAAATCATGTCCCATTGGAGGAAATTTACTGTCAAAGACAGATGGAGTGATTTGAGCTGCTTCCAGATCCTTCAATGTGGTAATAAATAAAATAAAAAAAAAAAAAGGGGGAACACTTAAAAATTGCATGACACAACAGCTACTGTGAAAGAATAACATCCCACCATCCAAAACAATGAAATGGGATACTTCTAAGCAGCAGGGATGTATCCTTTGGCACCTGTACACACATTTGCTTTGCCAGTCATGAGAAACCTCAGATTATCAGACAAGGTGAATGATGTTTAAAAAATTTTAAGATTGTTTGAAGAGGTCTTAAACATCACAGCATTACTGAATGTAATGAACTGCTCTAAAAATCAAACTGTTGTTAACCAGGTATTTGGTATTATATAAAAAGTGATGTTCTCATAGGAAAACTGGAGGAAAATAGACAAAAGATATAGAAATAGCAGGAGAAAGCTCATCTCAAACAAATATTCTTAAATTTTAGAGATTATGGATTTACAGTTTTACAGATTCTCAGGCTATTCAAGTACCTAGTTAGCTTTCCTACTTCCAGATAAATAATGTCTTCATTCATTATCTCAGGTAACATCTGCCCAAGTCTGTCTACAATAACGAGCCCTAAAAAAAAGCTCATGATAATCTAATTGAAAACACATCTGAATTTTTATGGTAATATGCAAATTTTATTAAAATATATATACAAATAGAGATTATTATTGCCCTTACCTTCCAGAGGTCAGCTGTTCCTTCAACAAGTTTGGCATTTGTTTTACAGTATTTCAGAGCCAGATGCAAACATTCCGTTCCATAATCTAGGTCATAGTCTGTACACTGTAGTAATTAAAAAAGAATAAATATTCTTAATTAATCTTAAAGAAATCACACTTTTAAGCAATAACAGATTTTCTTTCATTAATTAAACCTTACATCTCAACAGTCCTGTCCAGGATAATACACGCTGCATTAGGTAGGTAAGTTCAGGATGAATCAGAAATAAAACCCTTTCAAGAAGTTTTTGACAAATTCTAGCTATCTAGGAAAGTGTTAACAGAAGCAAAGGAATACTTTATAACCACAAATTAATTCAATTAGGCGCTGCAAATATCTTGCTAAATGTTTATGTTGATAACTAAATCAGTAAGAAGTTACATGTATAAGAAAAATTTTTGATGGAGTTGAGGCCTCACCAAAAGAAATCAGCAACCTTCTAGTGACACTTTTAGAGCAGGGGAACAAGTTAATAAATTGTAGAAGCATGACTTTTCAAATGCCTTGTCTGTTTTGGTTTTTGCAGCATCAGAAAAGGATGGTAGTAACTAAGAACCTCTGTATTCCTTACACGTTTCCATCTATTTTTCTCTAGTTATATGCACACAAAATTGCAAAGTTTCAAGTTGCTCCATGAGCCTTCCAGGTTTAAAAAAAAAATAATAATAATCAACAAAACCCCCAAAAAAGTTTGTCTACTTTTTAGTCATCTAGAAGAGGCGTTCTTCTCTCAACACACTCTTCCCAAGCAGTTTGGCTTCCTATAGTTAGCGATTATAAGAATCCTATTAATGGAAAACTGAGTAGGGAGCAGAATCTCTTGAGCCAAAATACAGGCAGGTGCTAAAGCAGGAATTGGGAGCTTATCAGACAGAACTACCTCAAAATGAATTGGCCTGATTAAGATAAAGTTCTAGTCTATTTTCATACTGCTAAATTACCAGTCTATCCAGAAACATGAATTACATGCACTAAGGAAGGACAACTTAAGATAGCATCTTTCATAAAAAATGGATCCATTTAGTAAGACCATAGGCTGGCTAGCCCAGTATCCAGTCTCAGAGGTTGGCAGTGGATAGTCAAGGATAAGTAAATAAGGCAATCATACCTTCTTACTTTCCCAGAATACTCCCTTGGCCTCCTATAAAGCTATTATCCTGGCTTAGGAAATCCCTAAATTAAGAAGTCCCTGAGAGACACATTGAACCAGAAGTGACTGCCTTAACAGTCCTCAGTGAATTAGAGGAATCTTCAATTCACTCAATTACTTTTTGAAAAGTAGTATTTTTTTCAGCACCTGCATCAGGGAGCATCTGATTCATCACTCTTTTCATCACATGCTCTGTTGTTCTGACAGAAAAGAGCGCAAAACCACCTTCTGAGCCCTTCAAAATGCTCCACCACATCTCTTCTCACATCTTTCAACATCCATTCAGTCATTCCATGTGTGGAAGCTACTTCAAAACTTTGATCAACCTTTTGCCCTCATTTACATTTATTGACACTTACCTATCCATTTTATCATAACATCCTTCTACAAACCTTCTAGTTAGCCCTCATCACTATTACCCAGAAAAAAAATAATGGGTATCTCCACTTCCTGTTCCAAATTATTTATGAATAAAATGAACTGCAAATGTCCCAGCACAGATCTTCACAAAACTCCACTGGTGATTTACTGCTATGAAAACCGGTCATGCACTTTTACCTTGTTTCTTATCTCCTAACAAATAATCTACTCTGCTAAATCCTTACTCTTATCCCAAATCTGTTCAGTTTCCTTAAAGAGTCTTTGGTAAAAGCTTCAGTGAAACACCTTATTATGCAAGTAGGCTATTATCAGCTTCAGCAACCTCAAACGAGATGCTGGTTCACTCCTTAAAGAATGACAATTAGCTCTGCAATACATAAGCTTTCCTTTACAAAAGCTGAAATAACCCTTCCACTGTGTCATATTTAACCAGGTGTCTATAAATTCATGTTTCAAATAAAATGTGACAGTCCAGATACCGTGCTCAGTAATTCACAGTCTCCTCCAGGATTCAAGAATTCAAAATCGTCAAGAATGCAAAAATTTAAGTGGGTTAAAGAAGATCCAACTGAGTGATGCAATACAACTTGCCTTTTTTTTTATAATTTCATCAAGAAGTTTAATAAAAAAAGATGAATAAAGTTTTTTGTTTCTATTCTTGTTTTATAATGCGTCAGTGAAATTCAAGGAATTCATCAGCAATATACATCTGAATTGTATTAGTAACACACAAAGACGTCTTAAAAAAACCATAGTTATCACTTTCATATTATTTACACTAGTAACATTTGTCATTTTAGTTTGTCATGACTGCAACCAAAAAGAAGATACTTTTACACAGCCCACTTAGAAAAGTAATTTAAGTGCTATACATCACTACAGAAGTTTAAGTGCTTTGAGTAACAAAACAAAACAAGACACAAGAAGATAGAGTAACTCAAAAAGAAAGACTTCTTTCAGAATACTAAAGAAAACAGGGGTTTCAAAAAGACACTTTGGAATATTTTTAAATTAAGCAGAAATTATTTATATTCTTTAAATAATCAAGATACTACAAAGGTCAACAGAAAATATAAAGGAATAGGGAACTCTAGCTCCAAAATATGTAAAATGGAGTAATCTCTTGAGTAAAGGGGTCCAGTGATAAGTTGCCAGTGAAACCAGAAATGGCCTAGTGACTTCCAATTCCAAATATTTATTACCAGAATGTTTCCTTTTTTTCTTTTGTTTTCAGTAAAAAATTTCTGGTAGAACGCAAACTATATTCTACTAACATGAATAACATACAGATTAAAAAAACACGTATTTTTATTTTGCCTCAGAATGGAAGAGAAAATTTCAGAAAAGTTTATCTGTGAAAGAATTTACTTTGAATTAAAATTAAGTTACATTTTAAAATATATGGGTAACAAATGATACTAGGACAAGACTAAGCAATTCCAACATTTTAGCAAGGTATTAATTACAGATAATTGCTAGGGAGTGGAGAAGTTCCATAAAGGGGCTAAAGCATCTTGAGGGTATTGCTGGCTTCAATGGATGAAATATGACACAAAGCAAAGTATTAATTGAAAACATATTTCACTAACACTTGTACATCATGACATTTACCACTCTAATTATCTGTAATTGTTTAAACCTAAACATATTGTCACAGTGTACTCTTCTGCAAGTCTGATACACTGATGTCAGAGGAAAACAATGAAATGGAAGTATCAGCTCAAGACCAGCTTAGTTTATATATTATCCATATGCTAAATAGGTCCACAAGTGAATTTTAAATCCATATTCAAGATGTAGAATTTGAAAGCTTCTATACTGCTTTAAGAAATTCAGTTAACAAATTAAATATTATCAAGTACTGCCTATAATAAAAGTTGTAGAATATCTATAAGGAAAATTCTTACTGACCCAATACATACAAACATTCTTATCCTAAGTCTTCCGTATGTATTTCATTGTACGTCTAGAGCCAAATTACATTACAACAATCTGTTTAAAATTCTCACTATTTCTGAAGTCTCTTTTTGACTGAAAGGCTTTTTAACATAAAGTTTGACAGAATACAGTTAACTGAACTTGATGTGCACACATAGCTCTGTGAAACAATAGACATAGTTTAAATTTCAGACCACAGATTGGAAATTGTGGAAACAGCTGGAAATATTGACACAAAACATATCCACAAAAGAAAACATATTAGTTTAGCCCTTTAAATGACACAGAAGGAAATATGTTATTTAAAAATGCTTTTGAACTGTTGAATATTAAAAGGCATTCTAATAGGTAGTTCTGGGGACCGACTTTTTTGTGGGTGGTTTTTCATTGATGTTTTCCAAGAGTGGACATTTGAACAAAGTGCTATGGGTGGAGTGAGATCCAGATTTAGCATTACACCAATTCTTCTTTCCCTGCCCCCTAGATTAGTTTAGAAATATTTTGATAAATTATATCACTTCCTAAAATGCAAGCTATACTGTTGTTGCTTAGCTGTAAACATAGAACAAGGGGTTAGAGAAAAGAGCAGTTACGCAGCCTGGTACTTACTAAGAGTCCATAAGCTAACTTGTTTCCAATATAATACTTTGAACAAGTAAATTACTAATATAATTATTATTATAAAGAAGCTGTATTTAACATTAACTGTTAACTTTTACTGTTAACATGCACTATTTTACTGTATCTTTATACTGATAAAAGATTTTGAATGGGTATATGGGAACCAGTAACCATACAGCGGAACAAACACATATGCAAGAAAACTTTTTATTACAGCCCTGTCATTTTCTTATTTTTTCATCATTCCTTATTTTTATAATAAGGAAACAAAATCAATATTCTTTATGTATTAACTGAAAGAAAATCTTCACATTTGCTCCTTTACATTGGTACCTTTAAAGCCTGCATAGAACCAGTCTTTTACACTTCTCTAACCATTGCCTGTGTC